CTCTCCGAATGCATCTTGCCACACATCCAAGCTCCTCTCCACCCCCCAACCCTCAACCCTGGGCCCTAAACCCTAAACCCAATAATTCTTAAACCCTAAACCCCAACCCTAAACCCTAGACCCAAGACCCTAAACCCCTATAAATCCTAAACCCTAAATCCCCAAACAAACCTTGCCCCGGCTTCCCGAGCCTCCACCCGGAGCCTGGCTTCCTGACGGGGCTTGGGCTTTGGGTTTAAAAGGGTTTCAGGGTTGCGGGTTTAGGTAGGTGTTTTAGGGATTTGGGTTTTAGGTTTTGGGGTTTTCAGGTCTTGGGATTTGGGTTTGCAAGGGGTTGAGGCGTTAGGTTTTGGGTTGACGGGCTTTGGACGGAGCTTCCCGGTCCTTGTATTCCATAGGACATAGCTAATGGGGAAGCCGTGTATAGCACAATTACGCTCAAAAATTGAGGCAAATAAGGCCCTTTCGTACGGCTTAGATTTGGATGCTAAGCCGGCAGGTCAAGGGTCTTAGGAAATTCAGGACCAATTGTTGACAACCCAGAGTGCAGCACAAGGGCGTTGCTTGTTTGAGCGCCTGGTTTTCGATTCGTATCCGGCTCTCAGAAACCCCGAACTTCGAGATTTAGGATTTTGGGCTTTCGGGCTAAGGGTTGAGGATGGGGGTTGAAGGGTTTCTCTCAGCGCCTCCAGGGTTTCTAGGGCTTGAGGCAGTCGTGGCATAGGCAGATCGTACATAATCCATCAAATGCCGACCCGCCACGTAATTACTTCCCCACAACCAATAGTTTAGGGCAAACGGTGTTAGACAACGAGAGTCAAGGTGTTTGCTTGCTGTGTAAGCTTACATCGCACACATGCTCCAGTCACCTGGTGCAACGCACAGATTCTAATCACTTTTACAATCTCCACAAAACGATTCACCGCCATCTTTAAGCAGCCGAATACAGTCGCCATGCAACACATAAGCTGAGTCATTTATCAGACATGTGAGCTCCGGAAAAGACGTTCAGGCCGAAACGATCCCGGTGCAATGACAGATCCAGAAAAACAAACTCCGTAACACCCTGGAACCGAAACTCCGAAGCCAAAACCCAATGCCGCAAAATCCCTTAAATTAGTTGTAGTATTCCGTTATAATTAGTCCCTAGGCCTGTGTAAGTATAACCTAGAATATATACCCCGAAATCTGGGCCGTGAACGCTTTACACCAAAACCCCTCAACGACCAAAGTACGAAAAATGCAAGACACCAAAAAACACACACGCACACGCACACACACACACACACAACACAACAGAAGCAGCAGCAGCAGCAGCAACAACAACAGCAATAAAAAATCCCCAAAAGCACTCCTAAAATCCGCACCCCAAATCCCACACAACCCGAAATCCCCAAACCCAAGCCCTAAAACCCTCCCAAAACCCTCCCACAGACCTAAACCTTAGAAGGGGCCCCCACCCCGTAATAGTAGTAAAGTAGGGCCCTAATATAATCCTTATAGTCACTATTACAGAGTGGGGGCAGCTTCTAACCTAAACCCTAAAACCTCTAAGCAAGCGGCCCAATCTCGACTCCGCGTCTCCAGCAGCTTCGCCGTCTCACTGCTGGCCTTTCTTTGTCTGGGGGGGTTTTAGAGTTTAGGGTTTAGGGATTAGGGTTTAGGCTTAGGGTTTAGGGTTTAGGGCTTAGGGTTTAGGGCTTTGGGTTTAGGGTTTAGGCTTGGGGTTTAGGGTTTAGGCTTGGGGTTTAGGGCTTAAGGTTTAGGGTTTTGGGGGGGCTTAGGGGGGGGGCACGGGGGAGAGTTTTGGGTTTCGTTTTGGAGGGAGGGCTTTAGACGGCGGTGGTACGGGTTGTGGCAGGGTTCTGCCTCATAAGGGTCTTTGCAAGTCTATAACAGCTTTGTCAGGATGTTGGTGTATATGGTTTTTTCGTTGGACAAGCCTGCAACATTCAAAAGGGCTCTGTGGGGATAGTACTCTAGATCTCGTGTTGTGAGGACGATGCGGGATACTTATGGGTCTGGAAGGTTGGGACTGTTGGGGGCTTGGATTCAATGCAGCTATCTATGACAAAACCGCACACACAGAACCACCAGGAACACGCATGCTTTGAGGCCAGACTCTTCAAGGATCTCGTTAGGCGCTGCAAGGGACAGACATTGCCCCGGAGGGAGTAGACGGATGGCTCTTTAAGGACCCACCTCAGGATGATGGAGTCAACGTTGGCGGCAGGCTGAGACATATAATCTCAAGTCGCTTGACCAACTCATGAAAGGACCGGGTCGGTCGGGAACGGAGTCGGCTCCTCCATTTCAAGCAGTGTAACTGTTGTTACGAAGCTACTGCTGAAAAAACCCATGGCCTCGGAGTCCAGGGCCATCGACACCGGTGACGCCGGGGCATTGAGGCCTTGTGAGGTGCCAGCTGCTCGGGTGGCGAGCCCACCTTGAAACTCTCAGCCTGGATGAACTTACGGTGTCAGTGCACGCGGAGGGCTTGCGCCGGCTAGCTCAGCTTCAAGTTCATCCGAGATGTTGCTGGTGCGGGCCCACTTGCCCGGACCAGAAAGAGCCCGTTGCCCAAGGATCTCACCACGGATACGGATGTCAACGCGGGAGGTGCAGCTTCACAAGTTTACCATCAGGTTCAACATAGCCCAACACCCGAAACCCTAAACCCTAAATCTTAAACACGAAACCCTAAACGCTAAATCCTAAACCCCTAAACCCTAAACACGAAATCCCTTGAACAAATAAACCCTATAACCCTAAACCCTAAATCCTAAACCCTTTAACCCTAAACCCTAAACCCTATAATCCTGTAACCCTAGACTCTAAAACCCTATAACCCCATAACCCTAAAAACTATAACCCTATAACCCTAAACCCTAAGCCCTATACCCCCATAACCCCGTAACCCTGAACCCTATAACCCTATCACCCTAAATCGAACTCTGCTTGGCATCAACAGACATGATACTGGGAGCCTAATTTTCAACTTCAACCCTCAACCAAACAGGACAGGAGCTGGAACTACTGGTGATTTTAGTGCTTTAGCGTCTAATTAGGATTTCAAGTTTTAGGGTTTAGGGTTCAGGCTGTGGATGAAATAATAAACCCTGCATTGCCCATACTAGGGAATATACCATTATTCCCATGGCCTAGCTTCCCTAGGGTAATTCAGCATCTGTATGATCAGCCGTATGATGCTGCACAGGATGTACAGATAGAGCAACAGGTGGGTAACATAGGGGCCTTAATAATTAGAATAGGGCTTTCGGGCCCATTATACATACAAGGAACCCCCAAAAACAGTATAGGTAATTATTAAGGCCCCTATATTAAGCGGCGTCTCAGAAGGCCCGTGAACAAAAAAAACCCACACGGGAGCTGGAGCCTTAAAATTGACCAGGCAGCGTCCTAATATGCCCTTCAATATTTAAGCTCTAACCCTTAGGGTGTCGGTATTAGTACAGTAGTTACTTAGCAATTACTCTTGAAGCCAAAACCTTTCCACTCAAACACACTGCTTAGCATAGTACTAGAGTATCTACTTCTTACTTAAGCCCTGCGGCAATACCAACCCAAACCCCGGAATTGTCATGCAAAAAGCGTGAGCACAGAGGTAAGATTTAGGCAATGACTACCAGTAACGACTGTGGTATAAACGTCATAGAAAGAAGATGAAGAAATTACTATGGAATAGTTACCAAATGCCTACTTTGAGTAACCGCACGCCGATTTTATGTGAAAGACCTTCGAAGCTGAGGCCCAGTGCACGGCCGAAGCCTCGCACGGATGCCTGCCGTTCTCATGAGGACGAGCCAATCTAGCATTCGACAGCACTTCGAAGGGAACCGACGCCCTAAACAAACGCCCCTAAACATTTGTCGGTGTGTCTGTCTGTGGTTTCAGGCTAACACAGACAGGCTCCAGTGATTTGGCAGGCTGAATGTCTAGGGGCTTAGGGGTGTGGTTGTAGAGTCTGCCCAGGGCCGGGTGCAGCAATAACCAAGCAGTGCTTTCTACGGTGATTCTGTGCCAGGTACCTGGCGTTTACTGAAGGCTCTCTTGGAGAGCTCAGCCAATAGATTCTGGCTTATGCGTGCGCCCTGCCAGAACTGTCTAGCCCTGAACCTAGGCCCCAAACCCTAAATCCTAAACCCAAAGCTCTAAAGCCCTAAACCCTAAATCCTAAACTGTATTACCGTATGGCCTGGCCTTTCTGTTGAAACGACTTCACTCTTTACACATATCATGCGCGTGTCTAGCAGCCAGCCTCCACTTAAACGTCAAAATCCTTGTGTAACCGCCTGTTACCGTTCCATCATGACCCTGAAACTCTATTCCAAAATCCTTAAACGCCTTCAGTCCTAATTATCACCTTTCCAGGATGCCTTGCTTCCAGGCTAATTAGCTCAAAATTACTGCTTCCATGTTGGTAGTCCTGGTAAGGGTTTAGGGTTCAGGAGTACGGGTTCTAAGTCGTGTTTTGGGGTAAGCGGCTGTGACCACCATGTCTGGAAATGCTAATGCCCTGGCACCAGGACCTATAAATCCTAAACCTTGTTGACCCTTAGCCCTGTATGATTCTCCAAGGTTCCATGTACTTGTATAGCAGAAACTTAGGACTCAAATCTGCTTCTACATAAATACTTTAGGGTCAAGCAATACATATACTAGAGGGTATATGGACACGACCTACGCTGACATCAAGTCTACATGTTTACGCTGAGGCGCAGCAGAGACTTTTCCTCCGCGCCGAGTCACGTTTGGGCTTGGGGCACATCCCAAAACGAAAGCCACAAAGCCTTTAGGTTAAGGACTCGATGTAGATGGATTTAATTTGGGTTCGGGTTCAGGCTATTTGCAGGGGTGGAGGGTTTCGGGATTTGCTGTCTCTTTCTAAGTAGGGAACGGGGGAATGGATTATGGAGACTATTATTGGGGATTAGATAGGGACTACTATACCCTACTCAGCACCAGACAGTTTGCAGGGCTCAGACGTCATTGCACTCATCCGGACAGGATCCTCTGTAGCCCACATTGAGCTTAGGCGGGAACTTGCAGTACTCTTCGAAGCACTGGTTCTCTTGACTTTCCTTTCAGTGTGTGGACGGTTTGGGGTTAGAGGGGTCTAGGGTGCGGCGTCAGGTTTAGGGTTTAGAGTTTAGAGTCGGGGGTTTAGGATTTGGGTTTCACTTTGCAGTCTCCGGTGACAAAAACACATGGCATTCTGTTGTTGCGGTAAACTGCATACATGCCGCATAAAAAACTAATCCCATAATCAAAACCGCCCTAAACCCCAAAAACTGGACCCACAAATCCAAAACCAAAGTTTGGAGCAGGGTCCGGGCTCCAGCAGCACTCTTTCTTGCACTCGGAAGGGCACGCGTAATCCGGGTCCGCCTCCGCCGCGCAGTGGTCTCTGAAGCATGTGTTCTTGCCTGCGCATAAGGGAATATGAGCCAAGGGGCCATAGGGTTCGGGGTGCAAAATACTGACACCAAAGGGCAGGGATCACTGGTTCGATATAAAATTATGAAGGTTTAGGGTTTGGGGCTTAGGGTTTAGGATTGAGGTATATAGGGCTTGGGATTTTCGACCTTGCCTTCGACCGCATTCCAACAGCAATGCCTCTTCTTCTCACCGGGCTTTGGACAGTTCTTGCCCTTCGTGCAGCAATCTTTTGGGCAAGACATGTCCTTCCTGAGCTGTGGTTGCACACAGACAACCGGGAAAAGTAGCCGAACATGAGATAGACAACGTTGGAATCAGGATGATAGCATGCATATGTGGGTTACTGGAATAACAGCACATGTTCAAGGTATTTCAAGAACGGGGCAAGCTTTATTCAATGGCAACGAACTGGCAACCCAGCAATTTGCAGTAAAACAGGCTGCGATTCAGAGAGGTTCAAACGTAGCATCAAGATCGACAAATCGTACTCAAATCTTCGGCCCTACATAGGTTGCTGCTGCATGCCGTCACAGTCTCTTGGGCAGCACAAAACAATCGTCGTAGGAGCAGAAGTTGATGTCGTCGCGCTCGCTGTAGCAGCACTGCTTGGTCAATGTCAAGTCCTGCGATGCTTCCACTTTAACGGAAACAGGGTAAACGTTTATACGTACGAGAGACGGGAGGAAGCATGATGTTCGCCCTTGCCGCATGGCGGTGAATGCTTGCCGCAACGCACAAATCTACCTACTGAACCTTGCAGCACTTGAAACAAACAGCCGACATCTCGAAACTCAAAAGCCCAAAATGGCGAAGACCTCTGCACTCTGAACCCTGCAAAAACGTGTAAATAATTACCTATACTATTTTGGGGGTTGCTTATTATGATGACAGCATAGTATCTAAACCCTGAACCCCTCTCAGGCACTGGTCCTGAGTCGCAGAGGCGGCGGGTGCGTCCAAATGTCGGATGGCACCGGCCATCTTCACGGGGAGAATGCAAAGGAAAGCCAGAGTGCCCACCGGAGCCATGCCGGAGGTGAGGCGCGAAGATGCGGAGTCTCTATATTTTACAGAGCCAACTTGCCTGTGGCATTGCTGCAGCCGGAAAAAGCAAAAAAAATATATTACACATGCATGCTCATCGGACAAGGCGAAGGCAGGGAGAAACCCTCAAAGAATGTTGCGTAGCACGGTATTCCGACATTAAGAACCACTGCTAGACGCTCGGCAAGTAACTCCGCAAAATTATAAGTGGGCCCTATATAGTTGTGGGGTATACTGAAGTCATAATCTGCAGACCCTAAACCCGAAAAGAGATACATACTACCGTTGATGATATAAGTCCTGCATGACCCATACAGAGGAACATGCCATTATTCCCATAGCTTAGGGTCCTTAAGGTAATGCAGGATTAATATCATCAACCGTAGGGAGCTCTCTACGCAAACCCCGGTAATCATAGTCAAAGGGGAAAAGGAGGGACCCTTAATGGGGACCCCTACCCCATAATGGGCTATATAATGGGTATATAATAGCTGTATTGAGGGTATATACCTAGGGGTCCTTATTAAGGGTCCCTCCTTTTACCCTTGGACATAGGAAGGAGGACTTCCCGCAGCCGTAGGGATCGGATCCTTCAGCTTCTATCACCTTAAGGGTCCATGTACCCATATATAGAGATACATGGGTCCCAAAGTACCTATATTCGGACTACATTATGTATATACTATATGAGTACATGGACCCTGAGGGTCATAGCCTCAACAGCTACGTGGTTTAGAGTTTAGGGTTTAGGGTTTTAGGGTTGAGGGTTTAGGGGTTTAGGGTTTAGGGGTTTAGGGTTGAGGGTTTAGGTTTTAGGGTGTAGGGTCTTTCTGGGCCAAGATATGGCTTTTTCGGCGCATCTTGTGGATCCTGTGAACCAAGAGCCTGCACTAATACCCTAAACTCTGCACCCTAAACCCTGAACCCTACACCCCAAGCCTAAACCCTAAGCCCTGAACCCTAACCTCTGCACCCTAAGCCAAGAACCCTCAACCCTAAACCCTGAACCCTAAGCACTGAACTTTAACTACCGGACGTCGGGCCGGACCTCTGCCGCGCCTTCGGTTGAACGCCGAGCCACCCGGCCTGGCTGCATCTTTCTTTCTGGCTTTTGCGGTTCGGGGTGTAGTCGTTTTGGGTTTTAGGGGCTTTAGGGATTAAGGGGTCAGCGATTTAGGATCTAGGGGTTCAGGGTTCAGGATTTGTTCAAAATTTGAGCCCTTTTTCAACTGCACGAAGCTACTTCGAAGTCCTGTACTAGGACGAGATGCCTATGAAGTCTCAGGACGTGTTAAAGGATTGCCTTCGAAGTTCATGGGCTGGGTTTTGGGCTTATAGGATTTAGGGATTGTAGGGGCATCTTGCCACCGGGTCCATGTACTCAAATAGCCTTAAATTGAAGTAGTCCCCATGTGCCTATATAGGGGCCTTTGGCCAAGATATGTTCTGTTTGCGTCCCATGCTTCAAAACATGGAGGTCTTGATACTCAATAGGCTGTCCCCCCTATTCTGGTCCCTGCATTACTTTACCATACCGCAACTCCTGTTCACTTGTTCAGGCTCCCCCAACCCGCCCCTGCAGTAAAGCTCGACCAGGCCTGCATATGCTGTGGCCTCGGAGGAAGATTATGTAATTTGCTTGGCCATGGTGTAAGTCTAAAAACTTGAGGATTTATGGGCCTATGGTTTAAATAGGGCTTTAGGCGCCGAGGTGTTTAGGAGTTTGGGATTTAGTGTTGTATTGCTGAGGGATTTACAGTTGAGGGTTGTTGTTCTATGATCTATGGTTTAGGTTGGAGCCCTGAACCCGAAACAGAGTGTATGTAGTTCTCCCCCGCCCCGGTGTACGGGCTTCGTGTTGGCGGCGGGGGGCTGAGGGGGGGGGGCTGATCCTGGCGAACAGAAGTGCCACTTGTTGTCAGGCTTTCCGGAAGCCCCCGCAACAAGCAGCTACAGCGTTAGCGGGCTTTAGCGGGCCTGCTACTTTGCTACTTCCTCTGTATGTACAGATACTTTAACGGTTCCTTCAAATGACCGATTATCGGTTTATGGGTGCCATCCAGCGGCACGGGACGAAAATTGAGCGCTGGTGTCCAAAGCTTACGGAAGCATTCGTGCCATGACCACTGCAAGCTAGGCATGATAGCCAACCCGAGCCCGACAAACCAACGTTTTTGTAATCGACGCCCTCATCACCTCAGTCGCCCCTTCCTTTTTACCCGAACGGATGAACTTTTCAAACCGAATCCCCAAAGAACTCCAGTCCAAGTATAAGGCATATCATCAACCGAACCACTGCAAATCTGGAGCGCAAAATTGATGCTGGGATTGGACCCCTCTCAATAAAACAATTGCTTCTGGGGTTCTATGCTACAGTCATAGACGGGGACGCGACAAGGAATAGTATTTCAGACAATTAAGGATCCAGTGCTGTGTGGTTAGAGCATCTGGATCCCAAGAGCATGCATAAGGCTTAGCTGCTTAACTTTCTGGGATTTCTATGAAATTGCTCTAAAATGCGGACTCCTTTGAGGCGCCTGGCGTCAAAGTAGCTGATAGCAAGATACTGATACCTTTTTTAGCCCATGAAGGGATGCCGAGCTTACTCACGCAATATGCAAGCGTTTGGGGTTCGAGGGCTCCTCGCTCAACTACTCGCAACAAAATCTTGCAGCTTACCCTACTACAACTCCTTATTTACGTTACCCGGAATCCCCTACCCTAAACCCTATAAACCCTACACCCTAAACCCCTAAACCCTAAACCCTAAACCCGGAATGAAAGTGTACCCCGTCAACCGCAAATCTCCCCAACCTCCCTCTCCCCACCTATCGCTCCTCTCTCCCCATTTCCCCCCGCCCCGTTCCAACCCCCGCTATCCACAATACCACATACTGTACTTGGAGGCCCTTTTGACTTAGTAAGTAGGGTTAGTAAGGTGGGTTATGGGGATTATAATGGGGTTTCTAGGGATACTAAGTAGACTTACTAAGTCAAAAGGGCCTCCAAGTATACCATGGACTATGTACAATACGGGGCCAGCATAGCAGAGCACGGCAGGAGGTTTCGGTGCCTGTGCTGCACTCAGATAAGGTCGAAACCCTCCTTACTCGCTTGCACCGAGAATTGCAGCGAAGATGCTCGAACCCAAAGGCGCACGGCGTAGAGAACCTTCGTAAGAATAAGGCATGTGGGACTGGATCCTTTTTTAGGACCCCTTTATAAAGGATCCCTTAACAGCTCCGTTAAGGATCCCGGGGTTCGGGTTTTGGGGTTCAGGGCTTCAGGGTTGGAATTTCGGGCTTGGAGGACTAAAGGGGTTGAGGGTTTAGGGTTTTGGGCCTTCCGGGTTTCAGGGTTTAGGGTTTATAGGGTTTAGGGTTGGGAACCAAGATCACTACTGCTGATGGACAAAATCCTGCATTACCCATTATAAGGAAGATACCATAATTCCCATAGTTTAGAGTCCTTAGGGTCATGCAGGATTGTGTCCATCAACAGTATCACCAGCATTCTGACTTAAGTTCCAAGCGCTCCAACCACATGGGAGTTTCCGAAAACTAGGGGTACCTTGAATTGGGGTCCTTGTAATCAGGATCCTACAATTTGGGGTGCTATAGTAGAGTCCCCTATTTTCGGAAAGTCCCACATTACCACCACCCACGTCTCACAACCAACAGGTTATGTGCCCAACACAATCATTTCGCCCTCGTGTGCGTACTGATGAAGCGAGTGTAGTCACAAATGACGTGGGTGAAACGGGCATTCCTCGGATTGCTTACGACTTTCCCGGGGTGGTTCGCAATGGAAAGGCTGGTGCTCTTTCTTCATTCCTATAGAAATCTCAATCGTACCAATCATCCTTGCCACCGTAGCATGTCTCGCCCATCACGGAAAAGACGGTGATTTTCGCTTTGCTATCCAATCCCCTTCCTTTGTCCGCCTTTTGGTGGTCTTCGATGTTGGTCTTTCAATTGCGTTTGACACCTCATCGCACATCTCAAGCCGTACCTGCATAGCACCGTTTGAAGCAGTCATCTGCACTGTCGGCCCTTTCTCAATGTTGTTGGACGCATAGTTGTGCACGTCATGGTCGACGATGCTTGCTGTGTAATCTGCCGGTCACCGTGCCCTTCTCATGCTTTTCAAACCTTTCAGATTGAGTTCGCAGGACACCCCTAGACAAAATAGTTGGTTGACTTCTACACACTTATACTCATATAGCATGCCAAGCAGCTAGTTCACAAGGCCTATAGACTTACCATCTGCACTCCGCCGCGCCAGAAATTTTCCTCACACACGTACTAAACTTAATGTCGGGGCCTCAATGATTAGAATAAGGTTTTGGGCTACATTTAGTTTTATACTACAACTATAATGAGGAACCCCTCCAACAAAAAAACACAAGTATCGGTCAGTCATGACTAATATAAGGCCCCAAATTACATTACACAGTATACTATAACTATAATCAGGAACTCTCAACATTCAGGCCACTGTATTATCCACTTTCATCGACTTTCGCACCCCTCGAAGGGAGCTTCCAGGCTCACCCCCAAAGCGCTGAACCGTCGAGAAGTGGGTGTGGGTTTATGGTTTGGGGGGTTAGGGCTAGGGTTTAGTTAGTTTTAGGGTTTTGAAGTCGAAACCACAGCCGGAAGCGAGCTTCGAGCTAAACCCCACGGTTGAGGGTTTAGGGGCCTTCATCATCAGATTAAAATGATATACGATGCTCGTAAATAAGACCCTCTTCAGCCCAATATGGGAAAATATAATAAAGTTCCCCAAAGGCCTACCTAGAGATACACCCCGACAGCCCTATGTTCACATAAACCCCACCACGGATTTGAGGGCTCGGGGCTTTGTGATTTGTGGGCCAAGGATCGGAGCCTAGACTAGTTTCAGGGATGAAGGTCTACCCTAAACTCTACAAACCTTAAACCCTAAACCCTGAAACTTAAACCCCAAAGTTTCCTAAACCCCAA